CCCCCCTGGATTAACGTCGACTCCCCTGGATTATCGTCGACCCCCCTGGATTAACGTCGACCCCCCTGGATTAACGACGACCCCCCTGGATTAACGTCGACCCCCCTGGATTAACGTCGACCCCCCTGGATTAACGTCGACCCCCCTGGATTAACGTCGACCCCCCTGGATTGACGTCGACCCCCCTGGATTGACGTCGACCCCCCTGGATTAACGTCGACCCCCCTGGATTAACGTCGACCCCCCTGGATTAACGTCGACCCCCTTGGATTAACGTCGAACCCCCTGGATTAACGTCGACCCCCCTGGATTAACGTCGACCCCCCTGGATTAACGTCGACCCCCCTGGATTAACGTCGACCCCCCTGGATTAACGTCGACCCCCCTGGATTAACGTCGACCCCCCTGGATTAACGTCGACCCCCCTGGATTAACGTCGACCCCCCTGGATTATCGTCGACCCCCCTGGATTAACGTCGACCCCCCTGGATTAACGTTGACCCCCCTGGATTATCGTCGACCCCCCTGGATTATCGTCGACCCCCCTGGATTATCGACGACCCCCCTGGATTAACGTCGACCCCCATGGATTGACGTCGACCCCCCTGGATTGACGTCGACCCCCCTGGATTAATGTCGACCCCCCTGGATTATCGTCGACCCCCCTGGATTAACGTCGACCCCCCTGGATTAACGTCGACCCCCCTGGATTAACGTCGACCCCCCTGGATTAACGTCGACCCCCCTGGATTAACGTCGACCCCCCTGGATTAACGACGACCCCCCTGGATTAACGTTGACCCCCCTGGATTATCGTCGACCCCCCTGGATTGACGTCGACCCCCCTGGATTAACGTCGACCCCCCTGGATTATCGTCGACCCCCCTGGATTATCGTCGACCCCCCTGGATTAACGTCGACCCCCCTGGATTATCGTCGACCCCCCCTGGATTAACGTCGACCCCCCTGGATTAACGTCGACCCCCCTGGATTAACGTCGACCCCCCTGGATTATCGTCGACCCCCCTGGATTAACGTCGACCCCCCTGGATTAACGTCGACCCCCCTGGATTAACGTCGACCCCCCTGGATTAACGACGACCCCCCTGGATTAACGTCGACCCCCCTGGATTAACGTCGACCCCCCTGGATTATCGTCGACCCCCCTGGATTATCGTCGACCCCCCTGGATTAACGTCGACCCCCCTGGATTAACGTCGACCCCCCTGGATTAACGACGACCCCCCTGGATTAACGTCGACCCCCCTGGATTGACGTCGACCCCCCTGGATTGACGTCAACCCCCCTGGATTAACGTCGACCCCCCTGGATTAACGTCGACCCCCCTGGATTAACGTCGACCCCCTTGGATTAACGTCGAACCCCCTGGATTAACGTCGACCCCCCTGGATTAACGTCGACCCCCCTGGATTAACGTCGACCCCCCTGGATTAACGTCGACCCCCCTGGATTAACGTCGACCCCCCTGGATTAACGTCGACCCCCCTGGATTAACGTCGACCCCCCTGGATTAACGTCGACCCCCCTGGATTATCGTCGACCCCCCTGGATTAACGTCGACCCCCCTGGATTAACGTTGACCCCCCTGGATTATCGTCGACCCCCCTGGATTATCGTCGACCCCCCTGGATTATCGACGACCCCCCTGGATTAACGTCGACCCCCATGGATTGACGTCGACCCCCCTGGATTGACGTCGACCCCCCTGGATTAATGTCGACCCCCCTGGATTATCGTCGACCCCCCTGGATTAACGTCGACCCCCCTGGATTAACGTCGACCCCCCTGGATTAACGTCGACCCCCCTGGATTAACGTCGACCCCCCTGGATTAACGTCGACCCCCCTGGATTAACGTCGACCCCCCTGGATTAACGTCGACCCCCCTGGATTAACGTCGACCCCCCTGGATTAACGTCGACCCCCCTGGATTAACGACGACCCCCCTGGATTAACGTCGACCCCCCTGGATTATCGTCGACCCCCCTGGATTGACGTCGACCCCCCTGGATTAACGTCGACCCCCCTGGATTATCGTCGACCCCCCTGGATTATCGTCGACCCCCCTGGATTAACGTCGACCCCCCTGGATTATCGTCGACCCCCCTGGATTAACGTCGACCCCCCTGGATTAACGTCGACCCCCCTGGATTAACGTCGACCCCCCTGGATTATCGTCGACCCCCCTGGATTAACGTCGACCCCCCTGGATTAACGTCGACCCCCCTGGATTAACGTCGACCCCCCTGGATTAACGACGACCCCCCTGGATTAACGTCGACCCCCCTGGATTATCGTCGGCCCCCCTGGATTATCGTCGACCCCCCTGGATTATCGTCGACCCCCCTGGATTAACGTCGACCCCCCTGGATTAACGTCGACCCCCCCTGGATTAACGTCGACCCCCCTGGATTAACGACGACCCCCCTGGATTAACGTCGACCCCCCTGGATTAACGTCGACCCCCCTGGATTATCGTCGACCCCCCTGGATTATCGTCAACCCCCCTGGATTAACGTCGACCCCCCTGGATTAACGTCGACCCCCCTGGATTAACGTCGACCCCCCTGGATTAACATCGACCCCCCTGGATTAACGTCGACCCCCCTGGATTAACGTCGACCCCCCTGGATTAACGTCGACCCCCCTGGATTAACGTCGACCCCCCTGGATTAACGTCGACCCCCCTGGATTAACGTCGACCCCCCTGGATACACGACCCCCTGAATGACTCCCATCCCATCCTCGCATCCCCCTTCTTGTTCCCCCCCTCTTGTTCCCCCGTTCTCGTTCCGCACCTCACCCCTTCTCTTGTACCCCCCTTCTGTGTGCCCTCCAGGAGCACATGATGCGCCCACATCCAGCAGTCAGCACACGTCCTGTTCAGCCTCCCCCTCCTCTTGTTCGCTCCCGGCGTGCCTCAGGAGCACATGATGGGGCTTTTGAGGCGCCTCAAAAGTCCCCTCCTCTTGTTTGCTCCCCCCCTTTGTGTCTCAGGAGCACATGATGCGTGGAGCAGTGGCCCTCATGTCGGCCAGTCAGCACGCGTCCTTCTCTGAGATGGCTGCCTCGCAGTGGCTCTCCGTTCGCCTGCAGGTCATCCTTTCCCCCTCTCTCCCTCACCCCCTCACTCGCTCACACGTTCACTCACTCACTCGCTCACTGGCACGCGTCATGCTCCCTCATCTCTACGTATCGCTGTTATTCCACCCATCCCGCATGGGTTACTTCAATTCACAGTATTCTTATTCCCTCGTTGTTCTGCCTCCCTCCTTGCGTGTGCAGCTGATGGCAGCAGTGGTGGTGACATTCGTTAGTGTCACAGGCATCATGACCACCCATTCTTTGCCCAATGTCTCACATCCGAACCACTTGGTTCGAATCCACTCGCCTCTCAACCACTCACTACCAAGCAGCACCGTGCACCAAGCCTTTCCACCCGCCCCTGCCGCCCCTCACTTGCCCACGCCCACACCACACCTGCTGTTCCCTTACAGCAACAACACCTCCTCCTCGTTCGCTCTCCTGTCCGACCCAGCATCGGCCCACACCCTCCCTCTCCCCGTCAACACCTCCCTCCTCCTCTCACCCCTCCAATCCATCTCCCTTTCCACTCTCCCTTCCATCTCCCACCACCTCTCCTCGTCGCAAGCTGATGGGGCATCAGCTCTCTGGCTCTCGCCAGCTGCTCGCCTGGCAGCATGTCCCAACGCATGGTCAGGGACATGGTCAGGTGTTATATCAGGTGTTGCATCCAGTGCAGCGGCTCGTGAGTTGCTGAAGGGTCTCAGCAGCGTGCCAGCGATGAGCAGCACGATCGCCGCACTGCGGTCGCTGCTTTCGCTCGTGCTCTCCGCCCCTCGCCTCCTCTTCGGAGCTGCCGCGGCCACAACAGCAGCAGTGTCGCCTGGGCTGGTACGTGTATCCGAAGCAGTGCTGTCTGCTCTGCTGCCATCAGCACTGCTGCCGTTTGGCCTCCTGCTATCTCCCGTTGTTCTTGCACCCTGCACACTGTGTCATACTCGTCCCCATCCCTCCTACCATCCCTCAGCTGGGTCTGGCACTGGCATATGCGCTGCCCATAGTGTCGCTACTCAACGGCACGCTCACCTCCCTCGCCGACACGGAGAAGGACATGGTGGCTGTGGAGCGCGTGCTGGAGGTGAGGAGGAGGGAAGGGGGGGTGGGAAGGAAGGTGGGGGGTAGGTGCAGGGGAGATGCATGTAAGGGGTGACGTGTGTGGGAGGGGCAGGCGGTGCGTCACACCCCAGGTGCAGCAGAGATCTTTATCCCCGCCTGCTGCTGCTGACCCATCACTTCCCACAAACCTCCCCATCACCAGCTGCTTGCGCCCTTGCTTGCCTACACTGGCTGATCTCCCCCATCCCCCGTCGCCTTTCCATCCCCTGCCCACCTTCACACTCCCGCTCCCTCCCTCCCGCGCCCGCCATCAGTACCTGGATCTGCAGCACGAACCAGACGCCCTTGGCCTGAGCCTCATCCCTGGCGCACAAGGGCAAGGGGGGGAGGGTGCATGGAAGGGCGCACATGCCGGAGGAGAAGGGGGGGCGGCCGCAGGAGGAGGGGAAGTGGGGGGATGGCCAAGGGAGGGGCGGGTGGAGTTGAGGCGTGTGAGCATGGCGTACCGGGTGGGGCTGCCTCTTGTGCTCTCAGACGTCTCCTTTGTCATTCCGGGCGGCTCTCAGGTGAGCTGCCGTCAGACCAAGCACCTCTTGTTGTTTCAGTCATTCACCAATTGTATACTCACTTGAAGCATACTTGCACAGTATATTGTCGGTACTTACAATTGTATTCTCAGGTACAATGTACCTGTCAGAGGATCCATGCTCAGGCTGAACATTCATGCCTGTTGGACTCCTGAGAGTGCATGACCAGTGCTCGCAGCCTTCCGGTAATCCTGTCTTTTCCTACCATATCCTTCTTTTTCTCCGTACCGCTCTGCACCTCTCTGCGTGTCAGGTGGGCATAGCGGGTCGCACAGGGGCAGGCAAGTCGTCCCTACTGGCCGCCCTCTTCCGCCTGCGACCCCTCACCCTGGCCTCTGCCACCACCGCCACAACCACCAGCAGCACGAGCAGTAGCAGCAGGGCCAGTGGCATATTCATTGATGGCGTCAACACTGCCCATGTCAGCCTCTCCTGCCTGCGCACTGCCCTCGCCATCATTCCACAGACGCCACTCATCTTCCACGCCCCTATCCGGTATGACCAGTCCGAGTCAGGCAAATACTATGCCTTGCATGTGCTGCCCGGCCAGTTTCCTGTCAAGTCAATGACAAGTTAACCTTCGTTTCCACATATTCTCTCTTGCTTTCTCCTTCCCTAGTGCACTGTCCATTCAAGCATGCAGTTCTATTCTTCCTCTGATCTCCTCTCTTGTCTTCACACCTTCCATTGATTTCACGGCCTGCTGTGCCAGAGACAATCTGGATCCCGAGGGAAGGCATGCTGACGTGGCATTGTGGGATGCTGTGAGGAAGTGCCATCTCGACGCAGCAGTGGGGCGGCTGGGAGGGCTGGATGCCATGGTGGGTGGGGCGGCAGGGGGGCTGTCACTAGGAGAGCGGCAGCTGCTGTGCCTGGCTCGAGTTATGCTCAGAAAATCCAAGGTATGGCAGGAACGGGCATGGCAAATAAATGGCATGTGAGTGTGAATGCCCCTCTCTTCTCGTTTCTTTTGTTAGTGCACGTTTTCTGTCTTACAAGATTCCACTACTGTTTCTCTGCAGGTGCTCTGTTTGGACGAGTGCACGGCCAACATTGATGCTGCCACGAGTGCACTCATGCATGCCACAATAGCTCGGGAGTTCCATGGCGTCACCACCATCACCATTGCGCACCGAGTCTCGTCACTACTCTCCCTCCCACGTGTCCTCATCTTTGAGTCTGGCGCCCTTGTACGTAAACACAGTGGTATCCTTACAATGTTCTGTTTGTCATCCTTTAAATGTTGCAGTTGTTGTGGTGTGGACTGACTATAAGCTGTTTCTGTTGAGCTTGGCTGTCACAGGTTGAAGATGGTGATCCTAAAAACCTTTTGCTCACCCCAAACTCCAAGTTCTCATTGCTGTTTGAAGCATCCATGTAACACCTCCTCCTACCTACGATATGGTGCTGTTGAAGTGGTGTGTTACATGGGTAGATAAAGAATGCGTGAGTAAAGAAAGGCACGTGGGTGTACATTTCGTGCCTTTATTGCAGTGTTCACTGTCTTCTTCATGTGTGTGCAACTGGCCAAATCTGCATTCTAAACTCTGGCAGGTCCACAAATTGTGAGGGCTTTATGCAGGGAAGGAATCGATCTACATTGGGCCAATTCTTTTACTGAATTCAAAATTGGCAGCACCCTGCTCCTAAGCACAGCCTAATCTACCCAGTACAAGAACTCCCCCCCTCCCCCACCCCCCCACCCACACACACACAAACGTGAGCAACAATATACAGAAGAACTATGTAGACCATTTGCAGACCACGGTGGGCAGGTAGAGCTCAGGAGTGAGCACGTTTCTGCAAGGGAACAGGTACGGTAGCAGCGTCAGGAATGCATGGAAAACGGTGCAATGCCTTCACAGCACAGGAAAAAACAATTTACCTCTTGTTCTCGAGCCTTCAGGAATGAATATGCAGCCACCCCGGCAATAGCAATAGCTGTTCCAATGCCAGTTTGCTGTGAGATTGTGTTTCCTGAAAAGGGTAGAGATAGCAGGAGAAGTGAGTGATTATTACAGGGCAAAAATGGAGCCCAACAGCCGTTCTCATATCAACTTGCAACTTACCAAAGATGATAATTGAAAACCCTATAACAAAGACACGCTTGAGGACATTCCCACAGCATGGGTAAGTGGTGAGACACGCTCAAGGGTGTTAGTTGCAAGCTGCAGTGAACGAAGGTTGGGAGGTCAGTTCCGAAACAATGCTGAAAAGGAGCAAACAAGGTAAGCCCCAATCACCTGATTGTACAAGTGATAGAACACTCCGACCCAGAACAGGTCACTCAGAAATTTGGTCATGCCAACTTTGGCGATTGCATCTGTGAACCCCCCAGCAAGGAGCTTGGGGCCTTCCATCTGCGAGAAGGACCAAAAATCAACCAGCAAAAAAGTGCAAGAGGGAAGTACGGCCACAGAGACTTCGTACGTACCAGAATGGCAGGAGGGATGCAATAGAGAAGGGAGAGGATGGAAATGTAAGCGTAGAGATTTGTGCTGTCCATTCCAACCTGGAACATTGGTAAGAAATGAATAAGATACCTCTTCGAATGGCGCACACCGAAAAAATCTATACAAACAGGAAGCTCACCATTGCTTTCTTGGAAAAAACATTTCTGTAAGTGAAGGCAATGTTAGAGGTCATTGCAGTAAGGAAGCCAGTCCAGTTAAAGGACAACTCAGTCACGGATGCCAGGGAAACACCTGAAGTAAGAAATACAAATCTGTCAGTTTGATGAAAGGAACCAAGGGGCCAGAAACGTAAAGCCAGGCACTCACCAAGGACAACAGGGAGGAGAGACATCCACAGAGGAAGTGACACATTCTGGCCGAGGACAAACTGGGATGCAGCCGCGTTGAAAAATGGCTCCAGGGCTGCACGACAAACAAGCCCGTTTTGTCAAGCTGTTAGCCAATCAGCCAAGTACGCTGGCCGATGCTCCCAAGACAGAAAAGCTTACACTTAATCGTGTGTGTGAAGGACACAGCCACTGTTGCAAATGACACGTTGGTCATAACATGGCCAAGCGCGTGGCAGAATGCGACCGGCGCGAGTAGCACAAGCATGCCCTTGTCAATCGGCTGCAGGTGGAAAAAAACCGTCAATATTACAAGGAGTGAGCTTTCTAAGAACAGAATTGACAACTACTCACAGCACGCTTGGGAAGTCTCAAAGCCCAAGAGATTAAACAATAAACGACTCCAACTGTTAAATGAACTGCAGACACAAAGCTGACGGGAAAACGAGAGAACAATCATACACATGAACACAAGCAAATGCTCAGAGCGGATATCTAATTGGCTCTAAAGCTCCGTTGCACGCATTGCAAGCCAGGCATGTACATTCGCGTTAAGAACCATGTGAGGTAATTACGAAATAACACTCACTATGGATACGGAAAGTAGTTGTATATCTTCTTGTTCAATATGTTGAAGATTACGTTGAGAAAGTACCTGCGCATACACATGACAAATTTCTCATGATACCAGTCTTCAAACAGTCTACCAGTGACTTGACGATTCGAATGTCGGCTCACCAGAAGAAGAAAAGTGTAGCTGTTGCGAGGCTTGGATATCGTTCTGGAATGCTCTGGATTGCGTCCAACAATCTGTTAAAGTGGTGCAAGGAGCAATTGTTAATAACATTCGCAGAACTTACAACGGAAGAATCGTCAGTGGCCATGCTCACCCTTCAGAATGCGGGATGAGACCAACTCCGGCAGCAGCCGCTGCACATATCGTGGATTCTCGTTCTTTAGCCGCTGGCTGCTGACCCGGGTGATCAAAATTGTTTGGAAGAGCATTTCTTTTAACGACTAACCGTCGTTTCTGTAAGGGAATCAAGCCATTGGTACGTTTTCTCAGCTTGACCAGACGTGGAGTCACGCCGCCTTGATTTTCCAGTCGAGAGTATGATAACGATGAAGTCTTGGCGGCCACCGCAAGCGACGCCGAACTCAGTGACGCTAGGACTGTGACGGAAGTCATTGCTAATACACGTTTTCTGAGGCCAAAATTCAGCACAAGCTTCAGGAATTGTGGCAAATAGAAGCTATGGAATACAACGCGACACGATGTTCGTAGCTGTGCTGATCAGAATGAAGAATAAACGTTCACAAGCTCTTCATGATTCATGACGATGCGGATTATCCAACTTTGGGGATTGCAAAGCGCATTGGTGGGGGCTGCAGGTTGTCCCAGCCAGCGCAGCGCCACGCAACCTTTCCGACTTTTGGAGTCAGGGAGGGTGCATCGCTGTCATGCTGTGCTGGCAGGATCCACCGCTTGAATTGCTAGACTGACACTTCGAAAGAGCATCACGCCACTCGCGCCGACATATTCTGCAAAGTTCGCATGACACTGACAATTTGAATTGCGTGTCTGTCAAACTTTCCGCATAACTTGGATCAAGTTGTTCCGTAGCACAGTTTGTGTTTATGTACACAATAGTATATCATAAGTATCGGTGCATCGTATAGCGAAGCAACCTGGAGCCTGCTATCATCGTTCATTAGGGTTCCCTGAATGGACAATCAACACGCAGCTCTTACAATCACTCGTTAGTGCAGCTTATGAGTCGTGAAATCCTGCGAAAGGTACGCCATGGCTCCTGTTGACGAGGCATTCTCGCAGCTGCAGGGCTTCGTCGCAAGGAGCGCGGCGGAGCTCAGCCAGGGAGTGGAGCGCGGCTGGCACGGCGCCGTGGCTCGCTTCGACGCTGCTCGTCGCAACCCCGTGCCGTTCCCCCTACCCCTCGCCTCCATCGCGGGAGTCGACCGGAGAGGTCAGGCCGCTGACGGGCAGGCTGGCGGATTTCGGCTGCCCGATCCGCTTAGAGCTCTGCAGACCGTTATCAGCGGCGGGAGACCCAAAGAGGTTGTTTTAGAGCCTAAGGCACCCAGGCGGCGTAGAGTTCCTGCCGCTGATGGGAATAACGAAGGATTAGTTCTGGTGTCTAATAAAGCGTACGACGATGACGGGTCGGCGACGGACGCGCGACGGAATCAGCTGCCGACGATTCGAACGTCTCTGTCGCGCGCGATGGAAGCGACGTACGCAGGCAGGCAGCGCGTGAGTGGGGCGGAGGCTGACGTGGACAGCGAGAGAGGCAGGGGAAGGCGCGAGGGAGGCGCGGTGCTGGCTGGGAGTGCGCTCAAGGCACGCGACGGACGGAGATTCGAGGTTGCGCGGCTCTCCTCTCCTTTCCCATCCCACCACTATCCCTCACTTCCTCGCGCCTGCCGGTTCCATTCGCGTTACAGTGTAACCCGCTGTAACGCTCTCTCTCTGTGTTTCTGAGCAGGAGTTGGATTACATCAACGATGACAACTACGACGAAGATGATGACGGCGCCCTCGCGGCCCTCCTGCGGCCCCCTCCGCCCTCTCCTCTCGCCGCCGACGGCTCTTCCCCTTCCTCTGCTGCTGCTGCTGCCGCTGCTAGTAGTGCTAGTAGTGCTGGTGGTGCTCGTGCTGGTGCGGTTGTGGTGAGCAGCCCGGGTGGGCGACGGCAGGCGGGGCAGCAGAGGCAGCAGCAGGCGGGCGGGGCGAGGATGGGCGCGGACGGCGCGGAGGAGTGGGCGGGCCCTGCCCCGGACTTCCTCACGAAGGTGCCACCCTGTTGGGTCAAGGGAGCGGTGTCGTTGCTGTTTCATGCGTGCTGCTACGTCTTGCCCCCACGCAGAACCACACCTTGGACTGTAATTCTCTGGTGAATCCGGATGCATGGTGCATAATACGAGGTCTATGAGCATCTGAATTGGCATGACCATGGCTGCTGACCCTCCCCTCACTCCCACTGTCACTTGGCGCCAATTCCCCTCTTCCACCAGGCAGCACAGGAGGCGGGCCCAGCGACCAAGGAGGAGCTGGGGCGCGCCACGTGGACGTTTCTGCACACGCTGGCGGCTCAGGTGTGGGAGAGGTGAAGAGGGGTGTAGAGTGGCGAGGGTGGTGGGGTGGGGGCAGAGCGCCTGTGAGGGAGTTTCGTCGAAGGATTTTCCAGAAAGGTTTCCTGCGGAGCTCAGTCGCACATGGTGACTGACATTTGCAATGTCCATACCTCCACAAACTCCCCTGTTCCTCCTCCCCCACTTTCTGGTCGTCCTGCAGTTTCCGGAGAAGCCAAGCAAGCAGCAACAGAAGGACGCCAAGGAATTTGTGAGTTTTGCAGCAACAACCTGTTTTCTCGCATGCTTCTCCGCTCTCTCTCCCTTTTGCATGGTCGTGGCTGCTCTGGATTGTTCTTTCTTAGTTGACTGCGTTTCTTCCTGTGGGCATGCTTCTTTGTAGGCACATTTTTTCTTAGATTCTTTTCTATGTAGTTGGTTGCACCCACGCCTGTGATCACCCATCTTGTCCTCTCATCTCTCACCTGTCACCATTCATTCTCCTGTTCTTCACTCCTCCTGCAGGTGACTCTCCTTGCCCGCGTCTACCCCTGCAAAATCTGCTCCTACCACTTTCAAAAGATAGTCAAGTGAGGTTTTTATGTATTTCCATGCCCGCTTTACTCACGCGTATCACATTGACACACTGTAATCACCTTCGTCCCTGTATAGACTGTCTTTACTAAGCCCCTTCTGTGCTTCCTGTTTTCCTATTGTTTCCTCCATTCCAGGGCCAACCCTCCCCAGGCAGGTTCAAGGGGGGAGCTGGAGCAGTACATGTGCCGCCTGCACAACATCGTCAACCGCAGGTACCTGCGCTGACCTTGCCACGCTCCTTGCCATACCATTTCACTACGGCAATCCCAGTGCTGTGCCGCACGGTGCCTCCATTTTTTTCAACAACTAACGTACAGTATTCCATTATTTGTTTCCCGTGTTCCCCTTCCAGTCTCAAGAAGCCGGAGTTTCCATGCAAGAGGGTCTCTTCGCGGTGGGGTTCGTTAGAGTGTGAGGATAATGCTTGTGAAGTGTGAGACAATGGGGCTACGTAGTCTTCGAAAATTGGATTAAAGTAGTTACGTAATGTAGGGTAGGTTTTTGACAGCTTGTTTTGGCTGAAGTGAGGTAGCATGAGGTTGGGTAGTGTACAGGCAGAGGATGCTTGCTTTGTGTTAAACTGCACATTTTGCTGGCGACAGAAAAATATTGCTCTTCAAATGTACACTTGCAATGCAGCTACAGTAATGTACACGCAGATGTGATAACATGCACCTGACTATGTACCTGTCCAGTCTTCCTAACTTCGTGATATTTGGCGCTGGCCCTGCAGTATGTAGCAGATGGCATGTGTCATTGAGAACTGCAAAAACTGCAAGGAGAGCTTGGCACACAGCACCATCTCCTTTATGAGAGCAGACTCAATGGCCCCCCTGCTTGCTTTGACCTTGGTCAGCTGCACTTGGAAGTGCAACTTGCATTGCACCCAGCTCGTGCAAAGAAATCATTGTGTGGGTCCACTTCGCATGGCATGGCTCACGCCGTAAGCGATGCATGGAGCACCATGTAAAATCGCCTGATGCACACATGCTTTCAAGCAACAGGAGGGCGAAGAATATGATCCCTTGAGATGTCAGCAGCATTGGGGGGCAACCATTGCCACATGCCTGTGTTTTGATCCGCTGGGTCCATGGGAGGCGGAGGCACAGAAAACACAGGGTTGTAGTCTGCTGGTTTGGCTGTGATTTGACCAGAAAACGCCGCCACTGCTGCAGCTTGCAGTGCGGCTGATGCTGCTGCTGCTGCTGCCTGGGATGTGAAGCAACCAGTGGCGGGAACGGGCAACGAATGCAGTTTCCCTTGCAACGCGTCCTTCTCAGCCTTCAGCCGTGACTTCTCCTCGCGAAGCTCCGACTTCTCGACCTGCACGGCAGACAGGGGAGAACGGTGTGGAGGCATACAAAAAGGGCAATACTCAATAAATGCCTTCTTTAAGAGCAATTCTTGCATCTTGTAAAATACATGCACAGAAGAAGGTAAACAAACGGCGAAATAGGAAGAAGCCCGGGAACTACCTTGAGTTCCTTTATCTGGTCACGTAGTTGCCGGTTGCCTTCTGTCAGGGCAATCGCCTCTTCTTTCAATCGGGTCAGAAGCTTCACTGTGTCGTTCAGGATCACGGCTTTGTCCGTCTTAGGAGGCAAATCCGGGTCGAGCTCCTTCCCCAACTCAAGAAATCTGCACCACATAATACATTGAGTCAGTTGGCTTGATCCTTTTTGCAATTAGGCCAGCATCCTAGTTGAGGCGAAAAAAACATATGAACGAGATTCTCGCATCGCACACCAACCTGTCGTTCAAGCGATCACGTCGCATTTTCTCGCGACTTGCTTTCGTGCATAGCAGGTCTTTCGCAGATTCTTCTGGAGGCCTGCACGCCCAAAAAAGGTAACCTAGGTCAATAACAGTAAATCTCAACGGGGAAGCTTTGCATGAATAAGGTGCGATAAGTCTGGAACTCACCTCTTTCTGACAACCACACTATCCTTCTCTATTTGACGACCGTGACCAGCTCCTCCACTTCTGAAACGATTCGAACAAAATGTCACCAGGGGGGAGATTAGGTTATCGCCACCAGCGAAAGCAGGCTACAAGATGCTGAAACAAATGCGAACTTTGGCAGCGGAGATATGGTTATCGCTACCTTGAGTCAGAGCCATCTGGTTGGGTATGCCATGAAGGGCCAAGCGTTAGATTTCTCCCTACTGATAAACGCAAAGCATCTGAGCACTCCATATCTTCGAGTGATCGAAAGCGTGTGAAAACCTTTACACGTCCCGGCGAACTGAAGTGCACTGGGGACCGATTTTAGTCAGGTAGAGATAAGAGTGTGAAGTGAAGTGATGGAAAGAGGGCAAT